TTGGATACCGCGTATATATAGCTTCCTCTCCTACTAAGGGAGGATATCGTTTGTGGATTACTTGAGAAAAGCCATTTTCTCCACGGAAGTGCTCGTAGTTTATTGCTTGGATTCATATATCATTATTGAGTTTGTGGGGTGTTAATCTTCTAGAGCTATACCTGTCTTCAGAAACAGAAAAGACGTCACTGTTGCCATCAATTCCAGTGGAGCAGGACACCTCAAAGTATAGCTTTGGGTGAAGGAAGTCACAAGCTATAAAAGAATATTCCCTGACAGGTCGAAAATATCGTTTTACTGAAATTGATCTTAAAAAAAACAGTACTGAAATGAGGCAAAGGACCGGGCTTTGCTGGGTCTTTGAACCTGTACGGTTCTAGTGTTTAATGCAGGCTCTTGATGTGGACATCAATGCCAGAATCACTGGAAGGTTCCCCTGACATTGAAGCTCACATGTCCACCCATCAACCCGCGCATCCTTTGATATCCAATCCACTTGAAGCCACGACCATGACTCTGAATACACCTCTAAAAATCAACCCCCCGGGTTTTACAGATCAACGGTCTGTCGGTCTCCTCGTCTCGTTGTCCTTCGTCCTACGCTCCTCGGCTCGACTCGTGGTTCTGTCCTTGGGCTCGGAATGGGTCGCTCCGAGCGCGAATGGCTCGCCCCAGCCGGTCGCGGGGAAAAGCAGCGGAAAACCCTTAAAGACTTTCCTGAGGGTTCATTGCTGCAGTGTCCGCCCAAGCGCGGTTGATGGTGGCTCCCACCGGCGCAACGGTCGCGCCCGCGGCGCCCGCAAAAGGCCCGAGGCACCGCGGCGCCGTTTTCCGTTCCGTTCCGTGGTGGCCGTGGCGTTCCTTTTCCGTGGCGGGGTTGGCTTTTCGCCCAGGAGCAAGGCGGTCAGGACGAAAAAGTGCCACGTCTCTTTCCAGCAAAGTGTGCGAAGGACACCCAAACTTTCTCGGAGGATTCTAGGTGGATGGGAGGGTTGGTTATCTCTCCCACAGAAGGAAGTGTAGGTCAGAAAATATGGTCTTCTAACTTTTGAGTGATGCATTTTTCTTTTACCAAAAGTTTCGACCAAAAACAGAGAATGAACATAAAAACCAAACAAAAACACACTCCTTTCTAGGCAATGACACGATGATCGCCATTCACTGACTAGGGCGGCTGTCGGGTCCTAAAGTCGAAAAAAAGGCTCTGTCGGTCTTCGTTCCCGTCCACTCCATCCACTCCCAAGACAAACGAAAACGGACGCAGACTCTCTTCGTATGGCTCTTTTCGTATGGCTCTTTTCGTATTGCTCAGGAATTATTCCAGGATGTGTTTCTGACGTGGGAAAAATATCATTCATTCCTGATTCCTCATGACTCTTTTCTGAGACTTGCCGATGTTCGGCCTCGATCAGTCGATCATGGAGTCGGAATGGAAGGAGTTGCAGATAGATGTCAGCTGGCATCACCCTTATGGATTTGAAGGAAAAACGTTTAGAACTTCGAGTATCGTAGCTGAAAAGTATCGTAATGGGTTCACCCTAAGTATCGTTCGAGAAGATCAAGGAGCTCGTAGTTGATCCAATGAAATACCCCTTTCTTCATATCAGATTTTGACCAAGAGCTACATGTTACATGTCTTGCCAGTCTTGCACCTAAAAAGAAATCAGATCGGTTTCGCCCCCCTTGCGCTCCAGAAGCCACGGAAGAAGCCGAAAAAGCAAGCATCAAAAGCACCACCGAAAATCCGGCAGCGGTTTTCGGCGGTTTCACGAACTACGACAATCAATGTCCGGCGGCGGCCGCGATGTTTCATGAACGGTCGCCGCGGAGATCGACCGACGCCGTCGACGCAGATCAGGGGGCCAAAGATTCTGAGTGTGAAGTGGCCTGGTAGAACTGGTGCCACAGGACCCCGCGGGATTGCTGATCTTTGGTCACCGGGTCAGTGACCTTATGGTTCCAACATGTCTCCATTACCAGAAAAGAACCATCAACCGCATCAACACCATCAACACCAGTGGTGTGAAGAGTGTTTTGTTTTTGTGTTTTTCGAGGCTTTCGTCCGCCGGTGATGGGTAGTTCCGACAGCTCTACATCGCGTACTACAGCGGCTGCAGCCTTGATGAACACAAGGCTGAGTACTTTGCATGGTGCGTCTGCCCTTTTATTGTGAACCCAACATGGACACTCAGTCGAAAGGTTTGTGGGGGGTTCAAAACTGACACGCTTCCCGCGGGCTGAAACTAGTTCCGAGTCAATAATGCATATCCAGTGTTGAGTTAGACATCTACTCCGCCCCTCTTCAAGCCCGGTCGACTAAGGCGTCCTCTGCTACTGGTACTGGACAACTCATGCAGCTGGGCGGAAATTCATAGGCAGGAGCTACAGTATCGGTGCGGCCGATCACTCGGAAATCGTGGTCATACGCGTCATAGGTAATTGTCCAGCAGAAAACGTGGGAAAATATGTGGATGGTTCTTTCGTGCTCCGCTTGCATGGCGTCTCAAATTTGGACAATTCATCCTAGAGATGCACTCGTTTTGATAGGACCGGTCTGCTCAGGCCGGGTAACCAGTGGCTTTTTAAATGGCTTGACTCGCTTGACCCTTCTCCGGTTTGTCCACCAGAGAAAACGATGTCCGACGTCAAGTCATGCCCAGCCCCTTCTAAAGAAAAACAGAGTCCCACATCCAATGAGCCCAGTACGCTCTCTGTGTTCTGTCTTCACCAGAGAAACGTGGTCTGACATCAAATGGGTCTGCCTCTTGAAATCTGTGTCCAAAGGTAATTTTGTCCTGGCCTGGGGAAGCAGTGTCACTTGCGCCCTGCTGCCTCAAGTCAATTTGCCCTACGTCCAACGTCAAACGCGTCCGACGTCCCTTGTGTCCGGCCCTGGGTCCAGCGTCACATGCTCCCAGCCCATTGTCTGTCTTGACCAGAGAAGACTACGTCCGACGTCAAAAGTGTCCGGCCTGTCTCTCTTGACAAGAGAAAACTACGTCCGACGTCAAATGCGTCCGGTCTGTCTGTCTTGACAAAAGAAAGCTATGTCCGACGTCAAATGTCTCCGGCCTGTCTGTCTTGACAAGAAACGATAAGTCCGGCGACAAATGTGTCTGGCGTGTCTGTCTTGACAAGAGAAAACTACGTCCGACGTCAAATGTGTCCGGCCTGTCTGTCTTGGCAAGAGAAAACTACGTCCGACGTCAAAAGTGTCCTGCCTGTCTGTCTTGACAAAAGAAAACTACGTCCGACGTCAAATGTGT